CCAGCTACTCTGGAGGCTGAGGCAGCAGAATCGCTTGAACCCGGGAGGTGGAGGTTGCAGTGAGCCGAGATTGCGCCACTGCACTCCAGCCTGGCAATGGAGCGAGACTCCATCTAAAAAAGAAAAGAAAAAAAAAATTAGCCAGGCACGGTGGCACATGTCTGTAATCCCAGCTACTTTGGAAGCTGAGGTGGGAGGATTGCTTGAACCTGGGAGGTGGAGGTTACAGTGGGCCAAGACACGCCACAGCACTCCAGCCTGGGTGATAGAGACTCCGTCTCCAAAAAAAAAAAAAAAAAAAAAAAAAGACTCTTACTATTGATGATACTTTATAATCTGAATTGTATTTTTAAATATATTAAAACAATAGATGTTTCTTATCTTTTATAAAGCATCCTTTTTTAAAAAACGTGAAAAATGTTTTTTTAAAAAAAGACATGAGCACCCATTCATAAACAGTATATGGTAGTACAGTTACTACTATTTGCACTTTGGTGTTTACCATCTCAGATCTCTCAATATGTAGAGGAAATCATACATTCCTTTAACCAATATTTATCTAGTTCCTGCCAAGTTCTGGGCACTGTTCTAAGTCTTGGGGATAAAAGAATATTAAATAGGATATTTAATTGAATAGAATCATTTAACTGAATAGAATTATTTAATATTTAACTTAATATAATTCAGTTGTATTTATTTACTATATCAGTTATAATTAATATTTAACTGAAATAATTGATATGTAATTGAATATAATATTTAAGTGAATAGAATTATTTTAATTGTGCACACACACATTTACACATACATGTCTTTATATATACCTCTATATTTGTAAAAATTGTATATAACTTAATGTGCATGCGTATATACATAGTACATATATATATGTACATATAATAGGCATGTATGCATAGATATAGGAATATGTGCAAATATTGGTGCATATATTTATAAACTAACACAATACATACATAAACACAATGTGTGTAGATAATTGGAATGTCATAAACAGTAGTAAAATTGAGTATCTTTTCATTTATTTAATAAACAGCTGGAGTTCTTCTTTTGTAAATTGCCTGTTTAATTCCTTTACCAATTTTGCCATTGGTTTAAATACGACAGAAAAGAAAGTTTTAAATTTTTTAGTCACAGGACGCTTACACGCAAACACACGTACAAAAAATCATTTTCAACTACTCTATGAGGTCAAATGCTAACTGAGTGAGGAAAGTAGAAGAGGGGGCCAGAATGTTTCTCCATTATGCAATGAATCCCAAGTAATTCTAGACGTTCTCCATCAACTTGGGAGCAAGAAGTATGCGTTATCAGGCTTACCAGGTATCCTCAACTGGAGCTTTTTATGAAGAAGTAACAGAGAAGAACAATTGTTATGTATGAGGAGAATCACTAGACTTCAAGGAGTTCAGCATCCTCTGGGAGAACAAATAAAGAGATGAGCACTCCTCCCTTCCTCCCCACCAACCCCACCAAGAGATCTGAGATGATGGCAAAACTCTATTAGGGGACAGGCCTTGGCTATAAGCATAACATTTTTTGGCCTCTTTGTGTATGCCTCTGCTCTCTAAGCAGGAGAGTTGGCCTTTTATGGCTTGGCAGGATGGCTCCCAGTGTTTCTTCATTTTTCTCCTTGCTCTAAGGCAATGGGGTCCGGACTTTTGCTGTGTATGAGATCCCCCAGCAAGCACAAATGCTGTTATAAGATATCTCCTCAAATTAGCCTATTTTATGAGTTGTGATGCTGCTATCAAAGGGAGCCCAGGTTCTATGGCTCCAGAACAAGGTGAATTGACCTGAGCCATCTTCTGAGGGGCAGGGACAGGAACAGGAGACAATGGGCACAAGCCCTTCACTGGGCCCTGAAAGTTATCCTCAACGGAAGCCCCACCCAACAACTTCCTGTGCCCGGACTTCTGGCAGCCGTTGGCTCTGTCCTGCCTCGCCAACAACAGGCTTTTACACCTGGATATCACCTTTGTCATATTAGCATCAAGTCTTTGCCCAGAGATCCCGGAATAACTCAGAGAAGTCAGGGAAGCCCAATTTGGGGTTAGGGCCTGTTCAATCTCTCCGCTGAACCGACGTTTCTAAACCGAAAGACCTCACGGGACGGACGCTGTAATGGCGTACGGCATTTTAAAACTATTTCCTCACGATGGCAGTAGTGCTCCAGATATACCAACACGTACTGCTCCTTAGTCCTTCTCCCGCCCTTTCTGTCCAAAAAAACGCCAGCAAGAAAAGGACGCCAGGAAACATGGCAGCCTTACTTTTGCCTAGTTTGGGACAATCTGATCACGCTGCTGTACTTTTGCTTTTGGTTTCCATTTGAAACGAAACTGAGGCCTTCTCTTTTTAAGAACTACATTTCCAATAGGTTTAGCCTTCACAGTTGTGTTCTCGCTCACTCAGCATTACATCTCCAGTATTTTCCCAAGTTACCAACTTCTGCTTCTGGATTCAAGACTCAAGAATCCAGGCCTAAGCAGAAAAAGAAAATGCTAGAAACTCAAGGCCGGGAGGTTCTCTCTAAGTACCAAACCACATGTCCTTGCCTGGCTCATCCATCTGTAAGGCTCCCAAGGAATTCTATATTTTCAGGATAGAGATCTAAGTCTTACGTGTTGACTTGTTGGCAACCATTTGGCTGGAGTCTTAAGAGAAGTGCCCAAATGGCTCTCATTCCAAGAGTTTTGTCTTGTGATTTCATTTACCATTCGAAGACACTTTCCGATGCCATTAAATGGTCTCCAATTGCTTCCTACCACTTCACTGGGTATGTAGGGGTGTGTGCGTGTGTGTGTGTGTGTGTGTGTGTGTGTGTGTGTATTTATCTTTGTATCTGTATTTACCATTTATCTCTTAGAGATAAGCCTTAAAATCACTTCCTCATTAATAATTAAGACATGATGTTTGCCAAGGATTCAGAAATAACCATGCACTGATAAAGAGTAAAGCACTATCATAAAACTGATTAAGACCACTGATAATTTTTTAGATCATGTCCTCCTACTCCTTTCAATACACACAGAGTTTTATATTTATGTTCATATGTGACAATAAATTTATATTAAAATTGGTTGTTTGTACATGATGGTTTGCCTAGGAGATTGCCACTCCTGATTCTAAGACAGTTTGGCCACATTATATAAAATTTTTGTCTTCATATTTAGTAATGAAAGCATTGCAGAAAAATGTTTCTTGGCTGGGCGCGGTGGCTCACGCCTGTAATCCTAGCGCTTTGGGAGGCCGAGGCGGGCGGATTACCTGAGGTTGCGAGTTCAAGACCAGCCTGGCCAACATGGTGAAATCCCGTCTCTACTAAAAATACAAAAAATTAGCTGGATGCAGTGGCGCCCACCTGTAATCCCAGCTACTCTGGAGGCTGAGGCAGAAGAATCGCTTGAACCTGGAGGCGGAAGTTGGGGTGATCTGAGATCACGCCGCTACACTCCAGCCTGGGCTACAGAACGAGACTTCGTCTCAAAAAACAAACAAACAAAAATGTTTCTTATTGCTCCATTTATTATATAGTTTAAATATGGCATATATAACATATAATATTGCTATATATATATATAACACATAATATTGCTATACATATATATGCACATTTATTTCACCTTAATTATAACTTGACTTATACTGGGCATACTTTTCTACAAAGTCTTCTGCAGCAACTTACATAAATTGCATGTTTCCTTATATCAACATCTATTTTCCCTAGCTGGAAATTTCTTTATACTTTATTCTACAAGGAAGTTTCTCTTCGAAGGAACTATAAAGGTAACATCTGCTGTTGGAAATCTGCTCATATTTTGAGAAATTACAAAGCCAAAAATAAATGGTATCTCAATGAAAACTAGAAGAAATGACTTTTAAAATGTCTTTGCCATACATTCTCATATCTTCCCTATCCACATATAATGTAGATTTTTTAACCTAAAATCCCAGTTACCTTGTATGTCAGACATGCTTTTCTCACTTATGACAGTTTGAGGTATTTGGAAACATCATTAACTACTCCTTGGAATAGGCAATATTTTTAAGGTTGCTTCTTAAATTTTTGCATTTCCTAAAATTAAGCATACATGTTTACAAAATAACCAGATACATTAGCCTTGTACAAAGAAGTGCAGTGAGGCCACAGGTAATGCCCACTGACGCGGATAAGGATTTTTAAAATATGGGTGTCCTGAATACACCTGTTTTCTGTGATCAGTTAAAGATATAAATATATTAGGTTTCAAATAGCCATCAAATCAAGTTTTCACCAGTAATTTCTTTTGCACATATTTGTTCTGGGTTGACTCTCAAATTACAAAGATATCATCAGCTTCTTGAAAAATCTCTTAGAATACGCAATATATGAAGAACAAATGGAAACACTTTATCACAAATCCCACTTTTTTGAGGCATCCACTATTAGCAGCTTGATGAGTATATTGGTTTAAACATTAAAAAATGATATATAACTGTTCAATAATAACTGATGCTATTTAATGAAATAAATTTAATCTATATCTCATCAATATACTCCCCACATTCCTCAGCACAATGCTAGACACACACACACACACACACACACACACACACACACACTCTTTTCCATTTCTTTTCTTCAAATCCATCCTCACTGGTCCCACTACACATAGAATTTGGTGCCCTGAATTCTCAGCTCAACTCTAGACCATGAGTACTCTCCAATAGCATTAACTTTTCTTGAGGAACAAGATAGTTTTTTATGGCTAAATCTCATAGCATTCTTTTACTGTTGATCAAACCGTAAGAATCATATGCATCTGGGAAAAAATCAGTAAGTGGAACAAATATATAGCAGTAAAGAAATGATATTCTTAAGAAGTTTAATTGATATTCCATTGATGTTTGTTATATTGCATTCTGCTCTTTTTAATATATAATTGTACATTGTGGGCACATGTGGACAGGTTGTCAGGATTTGGTGAGTTTTTACTTACATGATACATGAGGAATATCCTTGCATGATACATGAGGAATATCCTTGCAGCTTGAGTTGCTTCTTTCTATCATAGTTTTCTCAGGTCTCACATCACATAAGTCTCATCATAAGTCATTAAATGTGCTTCAGAAAGCTGGATTTTCTGTTAAGTAAAATTTGGAAATAGAATTCAGAATAGAGCCTTTAAATCTTGCATGTGTGTAGAAGTGTGTGTGTATGTTTTAAAGAAAAATACATCTTGTAATATGTTCTTTTCCTAATTATATATTGAGATGGTGCTGGTTTCTTGAATTTTTTAAAAACTTGCAAATGTAAGCTTTTCTCATTTTCAACATTTCAAGGCTTTGGACAACTGTAAGTTAAAACGTGAAGGCAAGTCATTAGAAACATCACTGCAGAAAATTACACACTGTTAGTTGCTTGACTGGGGAACTTTCCAGATAACTTCCTTTCTGCCTATTTACTTTTCTGAACCAATATGTTTATGTGTTCAACTTGAATTAATAATGTATGTAATTAAGAGAGAAAGAAAAACTTCATTTTTCTTTTCAATTTCCTTGTTGTTAGCCAACCAGAATGGTTTGATCCCGTTACAACATTTTGCATTTTCTTGCCTAAATCAGAGGTGTGGTCACCTCCCCTATTGAGGACTTGGTGAATGGATTTCAATCTTTCCAAAGGCTTAAAAAGACTACCTACTATAGCTGAACTTAACTGTAGTTGAACTTGGACAATGGATGTTTTGCCCCCTCCCCACCGCCATCCTTGCAAAAGAAATCTCAGCTATCCTCTTTGTCCTCTCCTTTCTACTTTCCTGTGGGAGTTTGGCTGTGCGATCACTTTCAAGAGGTAGTCTCTGGACAAAGGGTATGTTCATGTGAAAGGTTAAATGATTTGGCCAATTGACCTTCAAAGAGGTGAACCAATTAACAGTGCTTCTCACTTGGTAGGAGCTTGTCCAATTCTACAAATCATTACACAAACATTGACATCAATGGATTCCTTTTCAAAGGCTTGCTAGGGGTTATGATGAAGATTTAAGGGCATAATGGAAGAATACAGTGAACTGCAATTTACTTCTGTACTGGTGAATTTGAGACTCTGTGATAACAGAGGTGCCTTATTCCTTTGCCATCTTTCCTGCTGAGTGGTTTTCTTTTTAACTTCATTTTGAAACAGCTTTTGATCTGAGATGAGTGTCAATGATTGAGCGGTATTGAGAGTTGGCAATAGTTATAATCTCCCATTACTGGTCACAGTGTCATGTTTGAATTCCTGGAACTCAGCAAGGTGCTGCTGCTTTAGGCCTTTATCCACTCTCTGACCAGATAGTCTCTTAATGTAAACCAAAATGTGTGGGAATACAAAATTCCTGACCCTGAGGAATTCTACGGCTGGGGCTACCTCTCTGTCACTCACAATTGTAAGTTCAGATATGGTGCACTGACTCCATACATCTGGCTTTCCTAGTCTAGCATATGGTCAAGTCAAACTATGACTCAACAGCTGGCAGCCTAACCCATCTGATGCAGGGTTTCTCTCAGTCACCTGCTTAGCTGAAGTAGGCTGAAAAGGTCAGAGGTCACCTTACACTTTCATAGGGTATTTGAGACCATTGAGACACGCTTTCTCAAATGTTTTCAAACCCTTCTTGGCTCATGTCAACCTATAACATCCTCAAGGGCAGCTAGACCAAGACATGAATAGTAGGAGAGTCATTTTCCCCAGGGACCCTATGGTCTTTGTAGTAGTTGCTAAAAACTTCCTAATAGATGTTATAGCTCCACCCTGGGCAGGTTGAATTCAGATGGTGACCATATATTACAGCAGTACCCAAGAATAACATTTCTTCCTCTTCTGTAAGTGGTCAGCCACTGAATCCATCATTGATACACAAGAAAACTCTCATGTGCAGTCAATCTTAAGAACTTTTTGCCTTTTCTTGCTATGCTATGGGCAAGTGTCCTGAGGGTCCTGATGTGCTCAGCTTTCCAAAGGAGGGTGTCCTTAGAGGCCTTACAAGGAATCTTCATTAGAAAAAGGCTAAGAAGCAGGCATAAAGAACAATATTTGCTAATCTGAATGAACAGTTAGGTCCCAAGTCTCAATGGCCTCATCTTCCTCAGGGGAAGGCCAACAGCTAAAGAACTCATTTCTGTTCCCTTAATAGAGCTAAGAGTATGTCTCTCTAAATAGGGAAGCCTTCACATTGGGCCCTAGAAAAAGTGCTGCAAAGCCACCATAGCTGTTACCTCCTGGCTTCAGAAAATACTTCCAGGTCTGCTGGTTGTGTATATCTGCACTCCTGTTGATGTTCAATGATTTATTGGCTTGCCCAAGTGACACACACTTCCTTCTCCTCAGGTCTTCCTTGCTCTAAGCAATAGGGGCACCAGACTTTTAGGTATCCTTGAGACCCCTAGAAAGCACGCTGGCTGCTGTTAGACATCATCTGGAATGAGATGTTTCATCTGTACCCTAACATTGCTGACACCTTGTGCCAACCCCCACCTCATTGTTCAAGGGGCACAGCCAGAGGATATGTGGCCAGAAGTCCCCCCAGATAGGATCCGAGCCATTTGTTTTAGCCCCACCCTCACTGGGTAGATATCTAAGCCCCAATACTTCCTATACTCCACCTGCCTAGCAGCTGTCCCCTCAGTCCTTCCCCTGACCCTCCACTTATCAGCTTCTCCCCCGGGATCCTGCCTTTGTCCAGAGCTCCTGGAAGCCTTCAGATTTAAAGTGAAGGGGACGTACTTAGGGCTAGGGTCCACTCAACCTCACAAAAGGCCCAACATTTCTCAGTTGCTAAAACTTGGGGGAACTCTAACAACTTTGGGTTTCTGTTTTGTCAAACTACATCCTCTTGATGGCAGTATTGCTCTGGAAAAGCTGATTAGCCCTGCCTACGCACCCCACCCCCAAAGCCCCTCTCTTCTCACCCATTCAGTCTGAAAAAGCCACCAAGACAAAGGAGACAGGAAACAAAGTTGCCTTGCTATTGGCCCTGTCTGGGGGAAATCTGCTCATTCGAATTCACTTTTGCTCCTGGTTTCCCTCTAAACTCAGACTGAAGGCTATACTACCCAGTTTCATCAGCCATACTTTGTGTAAAGAATCCCATTTCCACTCTACCTTAGCTTTGTAGGTCTGCTCTTCTTCATTCAACCTTGATCCCCAACATTTTCCCAAGTTATCTGCTTCAGTGGGAAATTCTTTAGGGACCTAGGGCTAAGAAAGTGAAGAAAATAATGGAAATAACAGCCTGGAGAAGAGCAAATCTAGGCACCAGGCCATGTGACTTGTTTCACTGCCAGGTTCCCTGTGAGTCCTCCATTTTCTGACCTGGGCACTAGGTCTTGTGTATTGAGTTGGGAGCAGCCATGTTAGAACCCTAATAGGAGGGTCCAGATAGAACTTAAGGCTGAATTCCATACAATGTCCCTCTTGGGGTGACACACACACTCCAAACTTACAAAATTCCAGTAGAAAGGAACATGATTTTGTCTTACGGTTCCATCATTCAACATTAGAACACAAGCAAGTTCCCACGCACATCATTATTTGACTTTTAATGGCTTCCTATGACTTTATTATGTATGTGTGTGCCACTGCTTAAGCCTTAGGAATCAGTCTTATGGTGTTTTCTCATAAGTAATTAAGACATGGTGCTTGTAAAGAGTTTAGAAAATAACTATGTGCTGATCAAGAACAAAAGCACTGTCATAAAATCTTGTATTAAACACTAATAGCCTTTTGCATATTTACTCCCATTATTTCAACACACACACAGGTCTGTATTTATGGTAATACACTACAATAAACTTATATTTAAATTAAATTTATATATGCATCATGTTTTAGATGCAAACTTTTCACTGTTGGTTCCTGGGTAACTGAAATTGTCATGAAATATTTGCAAGACCTGGATTTTAGATAATAAAACATTTGCAATGAGCTTCCTGATTGACTAAGTCATTAAAGAATATTAGGTTCTCAATTTTTTAAAAATTTATACACAGGACGTAATACCTATAATACCACCACTCAAGTATCTTAATTTTGATACCTGCTTCACCTAATCATTACTATGCTGACTATAAATGTGTGTGTATATATATATACACACACTAACATTGGAACAGGCACTACGTGCTTATGCCTCAGAACATTAGAGTTTCTTTTGTTTATATTTTTCAAAACTTATACCAAAATTTTATCTTAAAATTTTATGTAAAATCTGTAAAGTTGAAACGCATACTCACTCTAACACTGACCATGATTATACATATATATGCATAATGCATATATATGTATATGCATTAGATAGATAGGTCCAAGTTACCTAGTTACAGGCCTAGAGAGAAAAAAAATGGTTGCACCTATTATATATATATATATATATATTTACTTCTCTTTATTTATTTATTTTTATTCAACCCCTGGGAGCATGGACTATTCTTCTCTTTAAAGATAATTGAATGCAAACTGGATATAGTTTTGCACAAAGTCTTCAACACTACCTTATACCATTTGCATACATGAATAACAATGTATATTTTTGAGTGCTTGGATTTTTTTTCTATCTTACTCTAGAAGACCTTTCTATTTCAAGAAATTACAAAAGTTACACCCACTGCTGGCACCGTTTAGATTTTAAGAAATTATAAAATAGAAAGTAAATGGTACTTCAATCACAACAATAAATAGCCACTTAAAAATATCCTTGCCATACATTCTTATATCTTCACTTTGCACAAATAGTATATACTTTAAGAATATGTTCAAATTCTCTTGTACTTTGAACGCTAAAACAAGTTTTCCTCATTTGTAACTTGAATGCTTTTCAAATCTCATTAAGTATTCTTCAGAATAATGACAGGTTTTAAAATCTTGCCACCTGTTTTTGCATTTCTAGAAACAATCATGCTCCTTTACAATGTACCTGCTATAACAGCCATGTATGGAGAAGTGAAGCGAAGTCACAGGTAATGCCACCTCCAGCAGATAAGAACTTTTAAAATGTGGGTTCATCTTCAATCCTCTTCACTCGATTTTGGTTCTCATCTGTTTGTGCGTGGTCAGCTCTCCTAGCAAAAGTGCTAACCCTTCTTGGTTTGGCGGGCTGGTTCCATTTCTCTTCAAGGTCCTCCTAGCTGCAAGCAATTTGGTTGCACCTGAGACCTCCAGCAAGCACATGGCATCCTTCTATAAGCAACCTGGTATTTTCTGGTTCTCTGCACTGACTCTGCTACCACAAAGGTCCTAGGCCCCAGAGCCTGAAGGCACCACGTGTCGGCCTTTCCCAGACTCTCAGGGGCGGGGAGAGAGACAAATACCCACAAGCCCAGTACTTCGTTGGTTGGTGGCTTCCTCCAGTCCCGCCCATACTGGGAGAATACCAAGACTCCACCCTACAACTTCCTGGGCCTGGACTTCCTGGCAGAGACAGACTTAGTCTTCCCTCCCCACGGGCCATTTCCTACACCTGGACCTCAGTCTGTCCAGAGCTTCAGGTAGGCCTCAGGAGGTGGAACTAAGATCCAGCTCACGGTCCGAGCCTGCTCAGCCTCTGACAGAATGGACCTTTCCAATTTAAGTCCTCTAAGGGATGGGGCTTTTTCCAAAAATTTCCTCACGATGGCAGTATTGCTCCTGGAATTCCATCCAACACTGCCCCAAGCCCTCTTCTCCCGCCCGTCCGGTGTGAAAAAAAGATGTGACCAACAGACTAAGGCACCAGGAAATATGGCTGACTTGAGAAACTTGCTCACAGTATTGTGATTCTGCTCTTGGTTTTCATCTGAAATCAAACTGGCGCCTAAACCTACATTCTCATCAGGGGTCTTTTCAGTTCAAGAACTCAATTTCCACTTACCTAGTCTTCACAGTTCTGCTTTTTCTTCACCTAGCTTTTTCTCATGGTACTAAATTATCTTGGTGTATCAGGGGTCAAACCTCAGGGATCCAGGCCTGGAGGGAAAAGCAAATGGTTGCATCTAAGGGCTTGGAGAAGACCAAATCCAGGCACCTGTACATGTTGTTCTTTCCTGACTCACTTCCCAGGTTTCCTGGGAGTCCTACTCCATTTCTGGCCTAGGCACTAGGCCTGTGTGTTGAGGGAGAAGCAGTTGTCTGGAACCCTAAGGTAAGCGTCCAGATGGTTCTCAAGACTGTGTGCTATGCAGTGACCATTTGGAGGGATACACAAACTCAAATATATATAAATTCCAGTCAGAGGAGACTGATACAATCTCATAGTCAAAATAATTTAAGATCGGAACACAGGCATGTTCCTATGTTATTATATGACTGTCAATGGTTTCCTGTGACTTTAGTGTGTATGTGCTTATCACTTAGGGGTCAATCTTATAGTATTTTATCTTAAGTAATTAAGATGTGGTGCTTGCAAAGGATTTGCAAAGGATTCAGAAAAGAACCATGTGCTGACCAAGAGTAAAGCACTGTCATAAACAGTACCTATTAGTAATACTGATAAACATCTGGATTATGTTTTGTAAACTAAAAAATATCTGAGACAGGTCTCAACAGTTTTAGAAATTTATTTTGCCAGTTTAAGCACATGCATGCCTGGGAGGTAGGTCCATGTTTCTTCAAAGATGATTTTGAGGGCTTCAGTATTTAAAGGGGAAAGGGCAAATACGGAGAAAAGGGGAAGAAATTTTGAAAAGGTGCGGGTAGATAAGAGGCACAGGGTAGCATTCTTTTGAGTCTTTGATCAGCCCTTCATAAGTGAGATGAGGGTAGAGGAATAGTCACGTACACATTCATCTAGCTCAGTGAATCTGCATTTTTTATGTAGGATAAAATAAACAGGGCAGAGGAAGCAATCAGATACGTATTTGTCTCAAGTGGGCAGAGGGAAGATTTTGAGTTCTGTCCTTTGTTCCATACCTGTGAGGATAAGCCAACATTTACATTGTCAGGGTGAAATTCAACAGAACGGTTTTACGGTAAAAATCTTGAGGCTCACAAGGAATTGCCTGATGGGCAAATTGTGAGGGAGATATGGCATTTTATGTTTTTGTTTTGTCCAATCATTGTAGTCATCTTCTTTAGGAATAAAATGGGAGGCAGGTTTGCCTGACGCAGTTCCCAGCTTGACTTTTCCCTTTGGCTTAGTGATTTTGGGGTCCTGAGATTTATTTTCCTTTCACAGTTTCAACATAAACATGCAAACTCACATACTCACGCACTAATTTCAATATATACACACAAACATTTAGATTTCGTGTCATACACAATAGTAAGTTTACATTAAAATGAGGTTTGTTTGTATGTTACGGTTTGGAGTATATTTTCATTTTTGTTTCCTGGGCAGTTTGTCACTATCATAAAAAATTTGCAACACCTATATTTATATTAAATGAAACATTGACCAAGAGCTTCTTGATTGCCACATTCAATAACAATATGGTCTCTGAAAACATGTTCACTTCATAAAACACTTATTTAACAATTGGAAATTTAATTCCTATGATGTCTCCTCTCAGGTATCATGATTTGAAGAGCTTCTAATCTTTATTATGCTGACATGTATATACTCTAAAACAAATATTGAATCACAAGTATAACATGCGTGCATCAGAAAATACAGGGTATTCCTTCCTTCTCAAAATTTTAACCTACAAGTAAATCTAAAATTTCATCTTATTTTATTTCTTTATTATTATTTTTAGAGACTGGGTCTGGCAAGTCTATGCAATCATGGCTCACTGTAGCCTTGACCTCCAGGCTCAAGCAATCCTCCCACCTCAGCCTCTGGAGTAGCTGGGACCACAGGCACACACCACGGCACCCAGATAATTTTTTCTTTTTTATATTTTGTTGTAGAGAAGGGGTCTCCTTATGTTGCCCAGTCTGATCTCTAACTTGTAGGCTCAATTAATCTTCCTACTCCAGCCTCCCAGAGTGCTGGGATTATAGGCATGAACCACTGCACCTGGCCTAATCTTATTTTACTACTAAAAAAAATTAACAACAGATTGCATTACTGTATAAATAAAGTCTGTGTCCTCCTCTCAAAGGTTCAAGGTGAATGCATTAGCATATTTTTATATTCATCTATAATCTTTTCTTAATGTTTCCCTTTATATGTATTTATTTCCTAAAAATTAAGTCTTGCAAATTTTTCATAATGGCAAATTGCCAAGAAAACAGAAGTGAAAATATGATCTGAATCATGATATATGAATAAATCCCATATTAATGTAAACTTATATATGAAGCTAAATATCAAAGTTTCTATGTGTATACATATATACATGTACACATATACATACACATACAAATACACATGAATATACAGACAAAGAGAGTGAAATTTAAGTGCATTGTTACTACAACAATCATGATTTAAAATATACACTTTTTAGGGAGACTGAAGCAAGATAATTGTTTGAACCTGGGAGGCAGAGGTTACAGTGAGCCAAGATCGCACCACTTCACTCCAGCCCTGGAGACAGAGTGAGACTCCATCTCAAAAACTATATATACTTTTTAAACATAAGTACACATATAGATGGATAAGGAGTCATACCTCATTTAATGACAGGGATACATTCCGAGAAGTGCGTTGTTAGGTGATTTCATCATTGTGCAAACATCGTAGTGTACTTACACAAATCTAGATAGTATAGACTACTATACTCCTAGGTTGCGTAATATAGCCCATTGCTCCTAGGTTACAAAGTGGTATAGCATGTTGTTATACTGAATACTGTAGGCAATAGTAACCATGGTAAGTATTTGTGTATCTAAACAACAGGTACAATAAAAATACGATATTATAATATTATGGCATAACCATCATATATGCAGTCAGTCATTGACCTAAAGATCGTTATACGGGGCATGACTGTATACTAATGTGTATGCTTATTTATCTTTAAACATAATTGAATGAATACCGAAGGTAGTTTTGAACAGAACCATCATCATTATCTCATACAATTTACATGTTCCCATATACATATAGGTACTTGGAGAACGTGAAATCTCTTTATTCTACCCTGGAAAGAGCCTTGTTATCTAGAAAATTTAAAAAGCAATAGTTGCTGTTGGCAAACTGTTCAGGTATTGAAAAATCATGAAGCCAAAAATAAATGATAGTTCAATCCCTACAAGAAAAAGACTTTTAAAATGTCATTCTCCCAGCCTGGGCAACATGGTGAAACCTGTCTCTCCAAAAAGTACAAAAATTATCCTGGCAAGGTGGAGTGTGTTTGTAGTCCCAGCTACTTGGGAAATTGAGGTGGGAGGATCCCCTGAGCCCAGGGAGGTCGAGACTTCACTGAGCCAAGATCATGCCATGGCACTCCAGCCAGGGCGAGAGAGTGGGACTCTGTCTCCAAAATAAATAAATGAGGCCGGGCACGGTACTCACGCCTGTAATCCCAGCACTTTGGGAGGCTGAAGTGGGCGGATCACGAGGTCAGGAGTTGAAGACCAGCCTCACCAACATGGTGAAACTCCGTCTCTACTAAAAATTCAAAAATTAGCCGGGCGTGGTGGCACATGCCTGTAATCCCAGATACTCAGAAGGGTGAGGCAGGAGAATCCCTTGAATTCGGGAGGCAGAGGTTGCAGTGAGCCAAGATTGCGCCACTGCACTCCAGCCTGGGCAACAGAGCAAGACTCCGTCTCAAAAATAAATAAATAAATAATAAATAAATAAATAAAATTTCATTCTCATTTCCTACTTATGTACATATAATAACATTAAAAATCATATTCAAATTCCTTTGTACCTTTAGTGTTCAAATACATTTTCTGTACATATTGTAGCTAGAGTACTTACCAAACTTCATTAAATATTCTTTGAAATACTGATTGTATTTTAGAGAGTAGCATCTTTTGGGATTTCACAAATCAGATGTATTTCTAAATAATGCGTTCAGGTAAAACATCCATTTCTAAAGAAGCATAGCAAAATCATAAGTAATGCCACCTCAAGAGGACAAGGACTTAGAAAATATGGTTGTATTTTCAACCATATTTCACAGATATATGTTGTATACATTCAGAAATATAGATTCCTTAGGACTCTCTCATGTGTTCAACACAGCAAGTTTTCACCAATAATTTCTTTGGTACTTTTTTTTTTTTTTGAGAGAGAGTCTCACTTTGTTGCTCAGGCTGGAGTGCAGTGGTGCGATCTCAGCTCACTGCAACCTCCGCCTCCCAGGTTCAAGCGATTCTCCTGCCTCAGTCTCCCGAGTAGCTGGGATTACAGGCATGAGCCACCACGTCCAGCTAATTTTTGTATTTTTAGTAGAGACAGGGTTTTGTCATGTTGGCCAGGCTGGCCACAAACCCCTGACCTCAGGTGA